GATAAGAATTTTACTGCGTGTGATTGATGGGTCCAGGAATGAATCTAGTGTTCTCCATTCATTCCTAGGGGCAGTCAGCCAATTGCACCCATGCATACTTGTCTCTCTGTCAGATTCTCCAGTCTCTCTGCTGTTTCCAAAATATTTGGCCTGCTCATAAGACATAGAATACATAATATAGAAAGCAAAAACCAATAGTGAGGAATTGTTGTTAATAACTATGAACTTGAAAAGCTAATAAACACAGCCACCCTGAATGGCAGCCTTATTGGGCAGATATCTGATAGCCTATCAGCTTGTAGGATTAATACATAAATGGAAAGAAAGGCAATAAATTGGTCTTGATTCCACTGAAGTAGTCGTCACCCTCTAGTGGACACAAGTGTTATCACAACTACTTAATGGCATAGACCTTTCTCAAATTTTGAATTAATCATTGAAACTCGATACTTATCAAAACTGCCATTTTGAGACAGAAATAAACAGCAGAGTATTTTATTTTATTAATAGTAAATAAATGTAAATTATTTAACGCAATTTGCCGGCTTATTCAGAGGAGGAATAGAAAACATACAAGAAGGAAAGTACCAGGGAATTCCTGTGGTGTGGGCTATGCTCTATAAGGAAATCTGCTATAGGTATCTAGTTAACTTTTACTAATGAAACTCATGTTATCTCTGCTTTTACTAAATCCAAAGCATGAAAATAGCTACAGAATACTATTTTAAATGTGTTCCAATCTTTTAACCTGGCACCAGGCACCAAATCACTAGATTTAAAGATGCCTGTATATTTCCTCTGCTTCTAGAATCAAAGGGATAAATCTGCCTAGTCCACCTCAATTTATACATCAATTTGGCTGAAATCTAGCTATCTAGCTTTTCAGTTTTAAATTGGAATAGCAAAGTTCAGTTCTAACTCTGAGATTTTCAAGTTAGACTATATTGGTTGGTTAAAATGTAAGTTGTTTATAAATTAAAATTAGGTCATTGTCAAGTCTCATTTCTTACATTGGAGTTTAAATTACTCTGAAACTTCACCACTGTGGTTGTCAGACTCATTTAATAACCAGCTTAAAATGTACTCCAGTTATACATAATTAAAGGCAAACAAAACCCCAAACTTCATGAAGTTTCTGTTTTGTGAATATTCCTCATCTATAGGCTGCAATAGCATGAAAAAGCACTTTCTTTCCATATAGAAATCTTCCAAGAGGAAAAAATATCTAAATATGACCGTATATGGTCAAAAACACTAAATCGTATTTGAAGTCCAACTCTCTCCCTTCTTGCTGGGCAAGTAAGTGTATCGGCAGTGCCCTTGGTTTTGTGGTGGGGGGAATCCGAATACAAAGAACCAGGAAAGACTCATTCCTTCACCTGATGAGACAGGAACAAACACACATGAGAGTCTCAGAGGAAACAAGGCAGCATGGACATCAGCAAAGCAAGAAGTGCTATGAAAGTTAATATGCACTGGGTTCAGATGCAATCTAAGGTAGTCACAACTGACTTGTGCGTGGAGTGTGGTAATCATGTGCATGTGTCATTGTACACAGGTGTGCATGCATGTGGCTGCTTGTGGAGGCTAGGCATTGATGACATCATACTGCTCTCTACCGTTCTCCACCTTAAGGAGACAGGGTCTCAAAGTGATCTGGGGCAGTGGTTCTCAACCTTCCCAACACTGCAATCATTTAATACAGTTCCTCATGCTACGGTGACCCCAACCATAAGATTATTTTCGTTGCTGCTTCATAACTGTAATTTCGCTTTTGGTGACGAATCATACTGTAAATATCTGTGTTTTCTGATGGTCTTAGGCAACCTCTGTGAAAGGGTCTTCCGACCCCCAGGTTGAGAACCACTGATCTAGAGCTTACCAATTTTGCTGAGCAGATGGATAGTGAAGCCTCAACATCCTCTTGCTAGGATTAAGATTTGCACCACCATGCCTGGATTTTTTTTTAAACTGTTGGTATCTGAACTCAAGTCTTCATGTTTACACAGGAAACATTTTAACTACAAAACCATCTCCCCAGTCTCATAGTTAATTATTAAGTGAATGGTTAACCCTTAGTTATTTGGCTCAATTCTTGACCTGATTCATGAGTTCCAAGGTACCGGCCTGAAGACTTGGATTTGTTACAGGTCTTGGGTGCTGCTAGTATTGCAGGTGCGGGGGATCACATTTTAAGAGTCAGTTATATCTATTTTACTTGCATGGTGTAACTTTCTAGATGACTGGACATTAATGTTTATTTGAGATTCTCTGGGCCAGAACTGGAACAGTTCCAGAAGAGCGGGAAGTTTTGTCCCCTCACCATATCTTCAATATTTTCAGCTAAATACTTGCTAATACTTTTTTGTGGCTGTAAGTTGCCTATGGTGACTCTGTTTTGGTACCTTGGATGGAGTTGTCTTGCTAAGTGCCAGTACCTGGAAGGAGAACCTAAGAAAAATGATTCTGTAAAGAAAAACAACTCAAGGATATTGGCTCTTTGCAATGGCCAGTCTGATGTTGCTATTTTTACTAATTGCACATTTTGGCTTTTGTGACTATCTTCTTAGATTGCATCTGCAAGAAGGGGACCTTGAAGACTTCTGTCTTAGTTAGGGTTTTATTGCTGTGATGAGACACTGTGGCCATGGCAACTCTGATAAAGGAAAACATTTAATTAAGTATGGCTTACAATTTCAGAGGTTTAGTCCACTATTGTCACGGTGGGAGCATGGCAGCACACAGGCAGACATGATGCTGGAGAAGGAGTTGCCTACATATGGATGGGCAGGCAGCAGGAAGGAAAAGCCCACTGAGCCTAGTTTGAGCATCTGAGACCTCAAAGCCTATCCTCAGTGACACACTTCCTCCAACAAAGCCACACCTACTTCAACAAGGACATCACACCTCTTAATAGTGCCAATCCCTATGAGCCTACAGGGGTGGGGGAGCATTTTCTTTCAAACTTTCCAGCCAGGATGTGGTTTTCTCACTTAACTACTAACTACAGGTCCTAAGAAAGGCTCAGGAAAGCATTTAGATCCCATATACCTAGGCACAGTCACCAGCTGGCTGGAATAAAGACTTTCAATAGACCATGTCTGAGTGGTCTTCTCTGGTGGGAGCCCCACAGCACTTTGAATGGAAATTTTGTGCATGTTTCCTTTAATTTAAAACTTTCTGTTTGCTTATTTCTCAGTGATAACACACCAACCAAAGATAGATTTCAAGTCTAAAATTGCATTTCAGAGGCTACTGTGTAGGATATTGGCTCAGGTTGTAGTCCTTGCTGTGACTAGAACCAGCTGCCACTTCACCAAGTAGAACAGTACTATTACTATCAAGTAGCCAAAGTTTGATTCCCAATAAGTGAAAAAGGATAGTAAGGCAGGATATCTATCCTGAAGTATTTGACAATACTTCAGTATAAGAGGGCGCTTACATATATTTTTTACTTACTAGTATTTGGGAGAACTCCTTATTTAGAAATAACGGTATCACTCACAAGCACACGTTTTGTTCATTAAACTAAGACTATCTTAATTAAGATGCATAAATTCATATGGCAGTGATAAATGCAAAAAAAAACCAAACTGTTTCAGCAAAGGTTTACTTCTTTGCTAAGAGTATCTATCTTTAGAACTTAGCAAAAATTACTCATTTTCTCACAATACCAAATGCCATAATTTAAGTAACAAGCCTCAAATAGTTTGACACTCAATAATGATGGAATTCATCACCTTATTGATGACTGTTTTTTAAAATCAACATCTATAAATAAATGATCCAGTTTCTAAAAATAGGTTGAAGGAGATACAATATACCTCTTTAAAACGCCACTAGTAACTATTTTAATGGGATGTCTTGATTTGGAGGTAGAATTTAGATATGTGTTTATAGAGTTTGTCAAAACATGCTACTTATCAGGTGGTCCAGGCACAGACTGATAGATCTCTGAGTTGATCTACAAAACATTATCTACAGAAAGAGTTCCAGGACAGCCAGGACTACATAAAGAAACTGTCTCAAAACACAAACAAACAATGTTGCTTATCATCTAGGGGTCCTGAGTGGGTTCATTTCCTCTGCCAGTTAAAGATTTAAAAGGCAGGGAAATCTTAGACAACAGAAAGCAGCAAAGAGGTTCAGCACATAAAGAAAAGGTTATTAGGGGTAAGGAAATACACACACACACACGCACACACACACACACACACACCACTCAAAGAGAAAGTGCTTTAATGTGTGGCACTATGGAATATTTCTGTGTATAAACATGTGTATAAAGTTGTAGGCTAGGTAGGTTTCATATAATTTCTTTGTTCTGAGACTGGAGTTGAGACTCAAGCTTGAGAAGAAAGACACTTGAAAAAAGCCGAAGAGAAAGTATATTTTGAGTGTGTTCAGTGGTGTTTTGTAGGAAAAGACTTCTGCTAATCTCACGTTGCTTTTGGTAGCCACGGGTCACAAAGCCTCTGAGATTTGTTTTAAGTTGTAAACCTGGGAATCGTCAATTCTGTTTTTCTTTTGAGTCATAGCTAATTCAGCCAATTTATGGAAAGTTTCTCAAAACCGGGCGCACTAACTACTTCCCCTGTACGATTAGAAATAACTGGAATTCAATTATATGTCAACCAGAAAGTGTGGATCTTCAAAGCCGCCAGAGACGACAGGATGACATGGGTTGTAAAGAGGATCCTAGCAGTTCACCTCACTGGCAATGGGGAAACGGCGATAACTGGAAACAAGTGCAGTTGGGGAGCTTGGAGGGCTGGGGACGCTCGTCGCCTTCCGCAGAGCAACAGAGGGCGCAAGAACCCCTTCTTTCCAGAGCCTCCAGGCAGCGTTCCCGCGCCGAGCCTAGACCCGCCCCCCGTCAGGCTCTTGCCACTCTGAAAGCTCCGAGAAAGTGATTGACAGGACAGCGGGCCGTCCGCTGCGTCGCCCAAAAAGGCTTCCCTCCGGAAGCAGGGGGCCTCCGTCTGCTTCCGGAAGTCCAACGCTCTCCCAGCATCCCTTGCGCGCCGGCCCTGCGGTCAGTCTTCGGGCAGCCCTAGCGCGCTGCTTTTTGAGCGCGAGCCTGCCCGGGGGCCGAGCCCCGGACGCGGCTGTGCGACATGGCACAGCTGGAGGGCTACTACTTCTCGGCCGCCCTGAGCTGCACCTTCCTGGTGTCCTGCCTGCTCTTCTCCGCCTTCAGCCGCGCCCTGCGCGAGCCCTACATGGACGAGGTCTTCCACCTACCTCAGGCGCAGCGCTACTGCGAGGGCCGCTTCTCCCTGTCGCAGGTTGGTCCCTGCTGGCCCTGCCCCGGGACGGACGCCTCCCAGCCTGTGTGCGCCCCTGCCTTTCTTTCTCTGTCTGCCCTCCCAGACTCAGAACTCGAAAGGAACTGGGTAATGGCTGACGTTACCTACCTAGCCTGGAGATCTGTGATGGCGAGAAATAAGGACACCAAATTATAGCTCCTCTTGGGTTTGCCTTCCTAAGTCCCAGGACTAGACGCATTCAGGTGCCCCTTGAAAGTGCAGAAAGCAACAATAACAAAAAGAAACCCACCTAAATCTTAACTATGAGGTATTCCACTCAGTATTTTGGACGCGGAATGGAGGCTCTTAGGCCACCAAAAAGTGATAGCTCCATTCTAACTTCATCCGTGGATGTTTTTTAGAAACTTACTGTTGTCTGGATGTATTGACAACTAGTCAGATTACATCATGTAAAAAATATGTGTTCGATTACATGAATATGCATAATGCAAAGCTAAACATACCATCCCTTCTCATGAACACAGTATGGGTTACTGCTTCAAAATATAAAGTCTATTGAAGAAAAACCTGACTTCTTGGTGCTGTCACTCATAAGCTTTGCTATTTTAAGCATCACTAACCTGTAAAATAATGATAACTGCAAGATGTAAAGCTGAGCTAAGCACAAGACCCAAACTGGCAGGTCTTATGATTAGAAATCCTGTAACATGGTCTTCTCAAATACTTCGGCACCTTAAGATCCACCAGAGTCCCAACTATTGTTTGCCTGGCTTATAAAATTGGGGCCCGAGCAATTTAGTCACAAAATGCATGTTTTCTTTTTTTTTTTTTTTTTCTGGTTTTACGAGACAGGGTTTCTCTGTTTTGGAGGCTGTCGGTCCAGCCTGGCCTCGAACTCAGAGATCCGCCTGCCTCTGCCTCCCGAGTACTGGGATTAAAGGCGTGCGCCACCAATGCCCGGCTTAAAACAGCAAGCCTTGGAAAATAGAAACAAATTATCACTTATGGTCTGTTGGTTGTTGATACCTTAGTAATTGCACACCACATGATTTCTTAAAGCCATTTTGGAGCAGTGGCCCAGTGGTTGAGAGCTCTTGCTGTCCTGGCTGAAGACCAGACTTGGCTTCACCACATTGCGCTGCTCACCAACCTCCAGTTCAGGAGGGTTCAGTGCTCTCTTCTGTCTTCCACAGGCACCTGCATGCGAGTGTTACACATACATATACTCAGATGTGTGAGCACACACACTAAATCTTAAAAATGAAAAAGATACCGAGTCTGCCAGGACTTATTTAATTATGTCATAGAATGTCCTCTCCAAATCCTTCATTACTGGAACAAATGAAAACTGGTTTTTGACATATTTGTATCAATGGAGTCATTACTGCCTCTGCCTCACTCACTGTTGGTCTTTTCTTTTCAAGTGGGATCCTATGATTACTACATTGCCTGGCCTGTACCTGGTGTCAGTAGGCGTTGTCAAACCTGCCAGCTGGATCCTTGGATGGTCTGAGCATGTTGTCTGTTCCATTGGAATGCTCAGATTTGTCAATCTTCTCTTCAGTGTTGGCAACTTCTATTTGTTGTATTTGCTTTTCAGAAAGGTACAGCCCAGAAACAAGGTATGTACAGAATAAAGTTATTGCAAGTTTCTGTAGTCAAGTACAATTACGAATTGGTTTTATAAGATGTGAAGAAAATGTCCAGCAGTTAGTTTTTCCGTATGTTTCATAAAGCTAAATGAAAGTTCTCTACTTATATGTATAAGGCATTTATATTTAAGTATGGGAATAGCTTTATTTGAAAATCTAAAATAGATGTTAGTGAACTGCCAGTAATTGTTTGGGTTTGTTTTAGAAAATTAGATCTCTTTAGTGGAAATGAATTTTAGCTGAAGGAGTTTGATGTGATTTAGTCTTGGAGGTAGATTGGGTTTAAATTCAATCCTGGCCACTACTTTTATTAACATGAATAAGTTACCCCTTTGTAATTTTATGTTTATATCTATTTGAAATAATTTAGATGAAATATCAGTAGTACTAGTATATTGAGTTTGTGTAGTAAGAGTAAAGGAGCTTATTAATAAATGGAAGCTTATACTTCCATTTATGCTTAGGCTAGTACCTAGTATAAGGTTTTAGTAAATGTTAACTATGACAGTAATGTTAGTAGTGTCTTTTCATCAGTGTAAATTATGAAAAAGGGGTAGGGATACATGACAGGAGCAGAGAAATAACTGTTGCAATGAAGGGGAAAGAATTGGCTTTTCGAAGGCCTCATAAATGGCACCTGTGTTGAACCCTAAGGAATGGATAAAACTGACAGCTAAGAAGCAGTATCAGCATTACTGTTGAAATTAGAAGGCTATCAGTTTCAGTGATGGGAACCAGCAGTGAAGCCATGAATGTATTTACCTGTGACAGAGTACTTTGACTTTTACAGTTTTCTCCTTTAATACTCTTAACTATATGATTATAAATTAGTCTCCACTATTTAGTATTTTATATAAAACAGTTTACAATACACAAGTTTTTTGGAGGCAACAAGATGTATCATACATGTGCCAAGTTTACAGCCTATTATGGAACTTTGTCTATTTATTTATTGAGACAGGGTCTCAGTGTCGGTACAGGTCTGGGTGTCTTAGAACTCACAGAGCTCCACCTGCCTCTGCTTTGCCAGTTCTGAGACTAAAGGTGTGTATCACCACACCTGAGGAGGACTTTAATCAAAGGACTGGCATGGTCTAACTTTGTGTGATAGAGTTAAGTGAGGATATGGTTCAAAGAGATCCTGGACAATCATGTTCTTAGATTGTCAAAAAAATCTACAAGAAGACATTTGAGTTTAGGAAAAAAAATTTTAGGAAAAAAAGTCCTTATGATTTCATTATACAAAAAAGTAAGCACATTGGGCAGGGTAATTAACACTGTTTGCACGTTTCAGTCTTCTCTAGTGTAGAAATTTGAAGGACTATCTTTAAAGTGTTGGGTGATATTGGCTAAGACCTAAGTTCAAGGTATCGTAGCTGTGTGCATCTTTGCTATGTTCTGTTCATTTCTATATTTCCCATGCACCTTAGTCTAGGGTCTTATATCCCGTGACCCCTAAATGGTTGTTAGTAATTCAAAAGATTTTCAGCTCTTGAGAGTTTTTTTTTAATATTTTTTTATCTTTTTAATTTAAGTTAGAAGCACTATTATTTTACATGTCAATCCCAGTTCCCTCTCCCTCCCATCCTCTCATGTTCCCCACTGGCCCCCACCCCACCCCATTCTGCTCCTCATTAGTATTTTAATGTTTTCCAAGATGATTACTTTGTAACTAAAAATTACCAGAAGTATTCTTATATATGGTGTTGCAAAGTCAGAAATATGATTCATTTGAATTAAACTTAAGTGAGATTTTTAAATAAATCTTTTCATTAATTCATCAGAAATGTCATATTTATTTTACCTAAGAATAATTTTTTCTTTTTCCTTCAAGGCTTCTTCAAGTATCCAGAGAATCTTGTCAACATTAACCCTGGCGCTATTTCCGACCCTCTATTTCTTTAACTTCCTTTATTATACGGAGCCTGGGTCTGTGTTCTTCACTCTTTTTGCTTACTTGATGTGTCTTTATGGCAACCATAGGACTTCAGCCTTGCTGGGGTTTTGTGGCTTCATGTTTCGCCAGACCAATATCATCTGGGCTGCCTTCTGTGCGGGACACATCATTGCACAGAAGTTCAGTGAAGCCTGGAAAACTGAGCTGCAAAAGAAGAAGGAAGAGAGGCTTCCCCCTATTAAGGGACCATTTTCAGAACTCAGAAGAGTTCTCCAGTTTCTCCTGGTGTATTCCATGTCATTCAAGAACCTGAGGATGCTTTTCCTGTTGACCTGGCCCTACATCCTTCTGCTGGTTGCATTTTTTGTTTTTGTGATAGTCAATGGTGGGATTGTTATTGGTGATCGGAGTAGTCATGAAGCCTGTCTTCATTTTCCCCAGTTATTCTACTTTTTCTCGTTTACCATCTTTTTCTCCTTTCCTCACCTACTTTCTCCTACAAAAGTCAAGACTTTTCTTAGTTTAATTTGGAAACGTAGAGTTCAGTTCTCTGTGATTGTATTAGTCTCAGTATTTTTGGTTTGGAAATTCACTTATGTCCATAAGTATTTACTGGCAGACAATAGGCATTACACATTTTATGTGTGGAAAAGAGTATTTCAGAGACATGAAGTTGTGAAATATTTATTAGTTCCAGCCTACATGTTTGCTGGTTGGGCCATAGCTGACTCTCTGAAATCAAAATCAATTTTCTGGAATTTAATGTTTTTTGTATGTTTGGTCGCTTCTACAGTTCCTCAGAAACTACTAGAATTCCGTTACTTCATTTTACCGTACATTATTTATAGGCTCAACATACCTCTGCCACCTGTATCTAGACTTGTTTGTGAACTGGGTTGCTATACAGTTGTTAATTTTCTAACTTTTTATATCTTCCTAAACAAGACTTTTCAGTGGCCAGATAATCAGGATGTTCAGAGGTTTATGTGGTAATGACAGGAATATTTTGAATTTTTAAAGTAGACTATTCGTACAACAAATAACTGGGTAAGTAGAAGTGAAATTCCTTTTAGGTAAATTCAGGGAAGTTGTATGAAGAGCATTAAGTTTGAGACTAGCCTGCAACCCTGAATAATAGTCACAAAGTTGCTTACAGTTGTCTTGAGAAGCACTGATACTGCCTGTGACTCCGAGGTTTGGGGACTTTCCTGTGTGTGTACACATTGAGGGGACTAGGTAAGCTCCGAAGCACTAGAACCAACTTACTGATTTTCTTTTGTAAAGAATTTGAAAACTGTTTACAAGTGAGCAAGCAGTATTTCCAAGTAAAGTGGACAGATATTGCAGTAAATATAACTCTGGTCTTAAATTAGAATGAATTTACAGATACAGCAAATCATGAACTAGAGGCTTTGAGATGCTTATCTAGGAATCAAATTCTTAAACTTAAAATGCAGAAGTGATGAAGCCATTTGAACTAATTCCTAATTTGATGTTTATATAGGCCAAAGATAAACTGTGTTAATTATAACACCTTTTACAAATGATCTTTCTGAAATACATTGTTCTATTAGTTACCTATGGCTCCTGTACAGAAATGACCACCAACTTTGTGGCTTAAACTTTTCCCTCATATACTTACAGACAGCAGCACCTAGACTCACAGTGTTTCCAGAGCTCATGCCTTCAGGAGATAGGAGTCCACTGTCCCTGCTCAGCTCATTCCAGCAGCTGTTTGGTGGGGCCTTATATTTGGACAGGTCCCTCCAGTCTGTCTGTGTCTTCGTAGGGTTGTCTCCACTGTCTTCTTGTACAGACAATGCCTTTGGGTTTAGGGATCCTCTGATTCAGGGTGACTTTACTTGGGACTCTTGGTTATATCTGTAAAACTTTTCCAAGTCAGGTCCCATTCGCAGTTTCCAGGTACACATCATTTTGTGAGGGGGGAGGATGTAATAACTTTTTAGGAGATGTCCTTGCTGAGAGCTTTTAAGTAAAAGTTTGTCTTTAAGATACCAAAAACAAACAAAAAAGATGTCAGGATTCATATAATTTACATTTGTCCCTCCTTTCCAGTCAAACTAGAAGAACTCAGAGGTGAGAAGTCATTGACTTAGGGAACACTACTGAGTATGACTCTGGGACTTTTTTTTTTGTTGTTGTTGTTTTTTTGTTCTATGCTTACTGTCTTTTATTAATTTGAATTTAAAAAAGGAATTTATTAATGAAAGTTTATTCCTTCAACTGACACTCCATTACAGACACACATACACTGTTGATTAGTTGTGTGATCTGACTCTAAACCCAGAACTATGAATAGATATTACTTTTTAGCCCATTTTTCTTTCTGAGTTATACACATGTGTACACACACACACACACACACACACACACACACACACACACACACCAAAAACTTTGTTGTTGGATTATGCATTCTTTGAGTTTTAAATATGTAGTGAATTTATATACAAGTTTAAAAACTATTTGCATAAAGTTACACATGTAGTCCTGAGTAGTTGGTCAGAATAGACCATTGCTTTGTTTGACACTTAGAAGGTAAGTGACTCAAGTGTAACAGCGATTGTATTGTAATCGGATCAGAAAGCACACTCCGTTTAGAGAACTAAGTCCAGGAAGCTGAAATTGCAAACACGTGTCGTTGAGTAAAGCAACTACTGTCTGCTGCCTTTAGGCCAGGCCTTTTACATCTAGGAACATTGAGGGGATGAAGGAAGCACTTTGTCCCACATGTGGAAGGAGACTGCCTTTAGAGGCCCTCCTCCCCTTTGGTTTTAAGTGTTGAGTCACTTCTGTATTAGGAGACATTGTAGAGGTCTATAGGGACATCTACACCGCTTTCCATGAAGTATTGAAAGTAGGACTTGGCATTTCAGAATGGAATGCTGTGAATTAAAAGGTGCTATTTATTTTTCACTATGATTTAAAAATGGATGCATGTTGATGCTTTATAAGGTAGATATTTGGTAAATTTTCCTGGGCAGTTGACAAGAATATGGCCATTTGCTGATGAATTTCTCAATATTTGTCACTAAATGAGTATGTGAGAGAAATAAGCTTCATACAGCTGGTGTCACCTTTGCTTGTTCAAAATTAACAGAATCATCTCTGGGAAATCATTTCACTTGGAAAGAGCCTTGTTTTTGTAAACATTATAGATTATATTTCTGAAAAAGTTTTAAACTTTGTCAAGAATTGTCAAGTTTTTTATTTTTATTATTGAAGTTGTTGATTAATAAGTGATTATAAAGGACTCAGTGGTTAAAAGCATGAGACACCCTTTTAGGGGACCCTAGTGTGGTTCCTAGCCCCTCTATATGACAGTGTATAACCCCTTTCAATTCCACCTCTAGGGGATCATAGGCTCTGTAATCTGTTTAGTCAGTTCTACTTTATGAGAAAATCCATAGGCATAGACTATCATTTTCAGATATATTAGTAAGGGTTTGTGTGTAATGTATTTTGCTCACATTTAAGCTTTCCATGGGTGCTCCTTTTATGGCTGTGTCTCACTGAATGATGTGAAAATATGTTCTAGTACATAATATTGCAAGAGGAATTATTGTTCTCTGAGCTTATCCTGTTATACCAGCTATAAACTAATGTAATTTATTTCTGGTGAATAGCTTAGAATATAATGTATTTCTAGTGTGAACTTACCTGACTTGCCATTATGCTCATCAAAATTGTCTAGAGAGAAGAGAAGAATCCATAGCTTTAATGTAGCATCCTAAAGAGTGAAAATATAAGTTAGGCCCAGTTCAAAACTATTCAGATAAAAAGAATATAGATCACTGTTATCTTTGAAGCAGTTAGAACGCTTTTTTAAATGGTTAAAATAAGTGTACATAATATTTTACCTAGAGGAAGTTAAAATCAGATTGTAGATTGTGCTTGGTTTTGGTTCCAGAATAAAAAGACATGGAAGTACAATTTGTTTATTCCTAGTCACAAATGAGAATGTTATGTCTGAACTCTAGTTAGTATCTGATGTGTGTCTCACCCATTTCAGAGAGGATTCATGACCTTCACATATCCATGAAGCTCATAAACACATATGTTATGTTTTGGGTAAATGTTACTTTGTATTGAATGGAGTTTTCAGCAAGAAGGAAGCAAATATCCTAGAAAAGTACTGTATTATCAACTTAATCTTAGGAAGGATTGTGTTTTATAATGAGAGCCACCTGGACCCCTCTTCCATCTGTTTTCTGAGTGTTATTTTTGGTAGTGTTTAGTGCAGATTTGCATATTTAATTGTGTATATGCTGCCTGCACTAGGATATGACTTTAATACTATTTTAAATATGAAGTCATTTCAACAATTATTATAGAAGTTTTGATGATTTGTGATACTTTAATTATGAAATTTCAACTGGTTTGAAACATCTGATGTTCAGCAGTTTTAGTTCTAGGAAGGAAGGAATTTTATTTGGGTGATTTTTATGTGTTTGAATTCTATGGCAATATGTTATTGAGAAATATATATTAGATTAGATACTGATGACATTTTTAATATACCCATGAATCCAGCATTAAATTCCATGATGCATAGAATTTATTTCTAAAGTAAGTCTTGTGATAATTTGGTAATCTGGTTAATATCATTATTTTAAAATGACATACTTGTCAGTAGTAATTTCTTTGTTTCTTAGACACTGGTAAACCAAAGGTAGTTAGGGTATATTTTTTCAAACAAGTAATATTAAATATTACATCGAATTTACATTTGGCAATTGATCGGTTCAGTTTATTTGAACCATGTGTTTACCACTGTTCGCGGTGAGTAAGAACGAAAAGAATTAAAGTAGTTGTCTTCATCTGTTGATGTTTTGCTGGTTGAGATCTATCAATCATCTACATACCTACCTACCCATCTATATGCTTTCTCACTTGACCCCACTCACATTCCTATGATGTAGATGCTCATTTCCTTTTGGCTAGTAGAGAAGCTGAACGCCAGCATTTCTGGTGACTCTCGTAAGTTCATTTCTTTTGTAATTGGACTTAAAGCTGTGAGTTGTTGCTCTTCTGCCTCACAGTCAAAGTTCATTAAGAGAACTCATGGAGCGAGGTCTCCAGTCTGTACTAGTCAGACCCCTTAGGGCACGTTACTGTACAACTTACATGTTGCTAAAAATGTTAGAAGCTTTTTAGAGGAGCACAGATAAAATGATAAATGCTTAAATGGTTTCATTACAAGACAAATTGTTTAAAAAAATTCTCGCTGTTTAACTTGGAAAAACAGCTCCTATAATAGTTCTTACAGTTATCCAAAATCGTTGTATATTCTACATTGCTTTAAATGTAAATCAAAGGTCAACAAATAGGTTTTGGCTCACAAGAAAAACACCTTTTGTTTTTAATTACTTGGTTTCTCCAGGGGTAGCGAGCCCCCAAAATAAATGTGTCTCTACTAAAACATTTCATCAGGAGAGCGGCAGTGACTTGAGAAGGTAGATATGGCATAGTACCTTTGCCAGGTGTCTCAATACCTGCCATTTTAAATGCGTGTTCATTGAAGCTGATGTCTTTATGGTCTTTGGTAAGATAAGTTCAAAATCTTTGATAGATTTTGTTTCTGAGTTCAAGTGGACCTTTAGTTCTTGTTACCCTATTTTTGAAACTAATTTTAATTATACAACCTAGCCAAAGGTGATACAGTACTTCAGTGTACCAGTATTACAATATTTATCTTACATACATTGCATTCCTTTGTCAGTGAAAAATGTGTTTGTGTTTTCCCTGTAGTGATAAATAGGAAATTACTGTCTGTAATAATTTTTAATGAAGTGTTTACCAGGTGATAACAATGTGCTACATTTTGAAATGTTCTTGTAACTTAACTTTTTTATTAGTCTAGATTAAACTTTTTATAGTTTTGTATTGTTTTGAACCACAAAGATTTATTATTATCCACCTTTGTTTATTATTGTTGTTTGTAATTTTAAGAAGGGTGTCATAATCCAGGCTAGCCTGGAATTTGCAATGTAGCCAAGAATGACCTTGAACTCCTGATTCTTTTGCCTCTACCTCTGGTCTGTTGGGATTACAGGCATACTGCACCAGGCCTAGTTTATGCAGTGCTGGGGATCAAACATACGACTTCAAGCTTGCTAGGCAAATACTCTACCAGCTGAGCTATGTCCTTGGGCCTGATTATTATACTGTGACTGAAAATGTTTCCCAAGTTACGTGAAGTGAAGGTAAATGTAAAAACAAAACTCGTGTGTTCATAACTGTCTCAGATGATGTAACCTAACATACTTTGCCATGGGATTGTTTACCTACTGGATTTTAGGATTGTTTCCCATAGTGGTGTTGGCTTTGGACACTCAGCTGTACTGACTACTGCTGTCAGTGCTCCCCTCGCTAACTTACTGTTTCTCAGTTCTCTAGTGTTAAGTATACACACACACATAGAGAAACTACACAGAGAGATTATTTGTCCAGTATGACAGAGTAGCTGGTTGAGCTTAGGTTTATGAATAGGCAGCCTGAGCAGAATCCCATGCTCATATTTGTGGTGTTTGGGGGGAATGGGAAACAGACACTACACTTACCTTCACTTTTGTAGCATTTTAGGAAAAAAATGCCATGAAACTATAATTAGACTAACTGCTTTTCTAGATCAGACAAGTGAGGCACACAGTAACTGACTCTTCCAGAGCAGACAATCTTCCATTTCCCATGTGTCCATCAGTGCTTCAGATTGTTATGTGAGCACAAACTCTACAATGCAGGCTGAAGTTTTCAGTCCTATTAATTTATAAGGAAGGAAAGGTCTTTGTTACCAAATACAGATGTAGCTGCTTAAAACTTAATTTTCAAAAAGACTCCTATTTTGAAAAAAAAAAGGTTGTTTTAAGTGATGTGTGATTTTTAAATCTTTCTGAAAGAATTTGGTCTTTATTTTAAAAAAATATGTGAATATATGTTTTAAATGTCGTTTTTAAGGTTTTCCATTTTGTTAAAGACTGCAATGTTTGACTCAAATTGTAATTCATGTCATTTAAACCATTGAATAAATCTATTTATAAGAATAAACTTTTAAATAATTTGTTTAATATATTTATTTCATTCATAAGTAGATTAATATTTTGTGATAAATTGGGCCCTCTCAACATGCTCTCAGCCCAGACTGAGTGCCAGCTGCTCTTTCCATCCACACTACCTCAAGCCATTCTCCCACCGGACTTCAGGCTATGATCCTGAATTGAGGAATGAATACGTTTTAAATAGCTATAAAAGTGTCCATGACTACTCTACCTCAAGCCATTCTCCCACCGGACTTCAGGCTATGATCATGAAAAGAGGAATGAATACGTTTTAAATATCTATAAAAGTGTCCATGACTACTCTGGATACCTATAATTTACTTATATTCCATAATCACAGTGGCCAGGTAAGTTACTTGAAGGTCACCAAGTTTCTGGGCTTGGTTTTCTTTGTTAGTCTAGGTCCATAGAAAAGTCAAATTTTACTGACATTGCTAACTTGGAAAGACTCAAACCTTGGTTTTGGCCATTATGAAGACATGAATACTGCTGTGTCTTCATTCTTCTTGGTATGGATTTTACCCTCACACACTACTAAGGGCTTAGCCAGAGACTTAGACACTACAGATTTATAGACCTCTCTGACTCCCTCTTTTAGGTCCATCTATTTACAGTTGTATTGGTGATCTTAAACTCTATCCTCTCACAACACAAATCAGTCATTTCAGCTTTCTGATTATTAGGTATCCTTGGGAAATGGTATATAAATGTTGGTCCACCCAGTGAAGTGTGTTTTAATTGACCTATTGAATCTGACAATTTCATATGTAAAGTGCATTCTAATTGCTGTAATCCTCTACCCATGTCTGTTGCCCCCACAAGTACTTTCCCTTATCCACACCTTTGTGGAGACCCATTGAGTTGAATCAGGATGATTGGTGTGATCATGGAAGAATTTGGATCTGACAGCACTATTAGTACTCTGATCAATGGGTACATAGCTTAAGACAAGGCCTGCCCCTCCAATTGTGGCCAGTGGAACCATGGATACCACAGGGACCTGGAAAGTAAGGTAATCGTAGACAGAGAAGGTCTCTCTTCACTTTGGGGATGAACAGCTTATTCTCCCTGCAGTTATTTAGCATTAAGCTACTAAAGAGCATTGGGTTTCATCAACTAGTTCTGGTGGGTAATATTAAGAAGAGTAACCAGAGTGTATTTTGAGGAATGTGAGGTGTCCTGAGCATCAATTCATAAGAAAGTGTCTCACCTGGCACTGCAGTTTTGTTTAACAATCATTGGCTTTCAGGAACAGCATTATGCAGATATTCAGGCTATCTCCCTTCTAAATCTCTACTTTTAGCTTATATTTTTAATTGGCTTACAAAATAGTAGTTTCCCATATGACTTTTCATATAATCATAGTTTGGGTTAAACCTCTCTTCCTATCCCCTCATCTTTTCCATCCCTCTGCTCCATCTGTTTTGTAAATGGAAGTCCCGCCACCCTTCAGTCCCAAATAAACACAGAGGCTTATATTATTTGTAAACCGTCTGGCCAATGGCTCAGGCTTCTTACTGGCTAGCTCTCTCATCATTAACCCATTTCTATTAACGTGTTTCCACGTGGTCTTGGCTTACCAGAGAATCCCCTGCATCCTATCTTCCCAGTAACTACGTGGCTTCTCTCTGGTCCTCTCCAGAATTCTCCTTGTCTGGTAGCCCTGCCTATACTTGTTGCTTGGCTACTGGCCAATCAGTGTTTTATTCATCAGCCAATAAGAGAAACACACTAACAGCTTACAGAAGGATGTCCCTCATCACTGTTTAAACTTTCTGACCTCAGCATTCACCCTCTCACTATATTCTGCTGCCCTTATTCCTTTGCATCATGCTTTACCCCAGTAGCCCTCTTCTGGTGTGTGTACTTCTCTAGACTAAACAGAAGAGCCTAAAGATTTGAATCTAGGGTCCACATATGAAAGAACATGTGGTGCTTGCCTCTCTGAGTCTGGGCCACCTTGCTCAATGCAATTGTTTTCTAGCTTCATCTGTGTACTTACACAGTTCATAATTTTATTTCTCTCTACAGCTGACAGAATTCCATTAGGAATATGCATTGCATTTTCATTGTCCATGCATCAGTTGGTGGACAGCTAGGCTCGTCCCATTTCCCAGCTATTGTAAATACAGCAGCAATAAACATGGCTGACCATGGTACAGTCCCTTCAGAGTATGGTCAGCAGATAAAGCTGGGACAAGTGGTTGTTCTATTTCTAGTGTTCTGAGGAACATCCATGCTCATGCCAGTAGTGGCTACACCTCCCTCTTTCTCCATATCCTTGCCAGCATTTGTTGTCATTTGTCTTATTGATGATAGTCATTTTGACAGGAATGAGATGGATCTCAAAGAAGTTTAACTTTCCATTTTTCTGATGACAAACAATGCTCACGGATTTCCAGTGTTTGTTTGCTATTTATATTACTTCTTTTGTGAATTCACTGTTCAATTAGTGGCCCTCAGAAGTCAGGATTAGATTGCCAGGTAAATGGAAATGAGGACAGCAAATGAGGTGTATAGGTACTGAGTATAGGCATTAGGATCACCAGTGAGATTTTTACAAGTACAAATCCTATTTAATTCCTGCTTGCTTTTGTTTAGCACTTGGTGGTTTCAAATATTACTTCTTCTTTATATGATTAAACTGTGAGACAAAGAATGTGAAAAACTTCCCCTGCTGTTAACTGCTTGAGAACCCCATCCCAATTGTACTGAAATGGATTGTGTTCAGTCTTATTGTAGATAAGGAAGATAGTTGCTACTTTGAGAAACTTAAAAGAGTTTCTGGAAATAGCTTAGGTGGGAGCAGTATACTTTTGGAATGTAGAAGTCTAATACGGTTCCCTTATGTACTGTATCATAGTGTTTTAAGTTCAGTGACTACCTATCAGTATCCTGTGAGGGAATGTTAAACAACACAAAGTTTTTTTCCAGAAAATAACAACTTACTCTTTTAAAAGTTTCTACAAAGGAAGAAGATGAGAGCTTGTGTGTTTATATGCAACCAGATGCAATATGGAATATTTCAAGAGAAAATTGGCTCCTGGTATGTACTTATGGACATGTGTGGAGATGCTGTAGGATGCAGTCCAGCCGTCAAGGAGTGTAATCAGGAATTCCATAATAAAAGTATTATAAACTGAGTAGTCTAACATTTCTGGAGCATGTGCCAACCATTAATTAGACCATGTGTTAGGTACTTATGAATGTAAGTCCTCCTCAAACCAAATTCTACTATGATTACAATTTTATTGATGAGAAAAAGGAAGGAATAGGGTATTTAAATTTGGAAAATGTAGCTTCAAAAAATTCTCTCTCAACTGGGGTACCATATTGACTCCTGCTGAACCTAAAGACTTGGTCTTATCCTTGAAAGCACATGAAGCTGATTTTGGCCAGAAATAAGCAAAGAGAATACACAGCACACAGGGAGACAGCATAAGAAGTGCAGTGTAGAGGAAATATTTGAGAAAGGATAGACAGGTTTTAATTAAAACAAGATGACTGAACTTGATCTGCCCCACCCACACCCCCACCATTTGATACATTGCTGGCTGGTTAGAGGTTGCTGTCTGCCATAACTTGGAAGCTTTCTCTAAGCTTGGCAATATGGAAACTCCCTCCCTCCCCAGCAAAACTTCCTGCTCTCTACTTGGCCTTATCTGGAGAATGTCCCTGGGCCTGGAGGACTGACCTTATCTAAAGGCTATCTCTAACCAGCTGCCTGATTCATCTTTAGCTTGACCCTTGGCACAGATCCCTGCTACGAAGACTTGTGTTGGGGGCTCTGTTATAGGACCCTACTTCCACATACTAATCCCTGTGATAGGATCATGCCACTTATTACAAATTAGGGTCTGTCCCCAGGCTCCCCAGTCCTATATATTCCTTATACTTTGGAATAAAATTGAGCTGATTCAACAAAACCTGTTTCCTGGACTGCTGTCTTTGTTCATACCCTTGGACCACATATGAAGTTTTCTGTTGCCACTTCTGACTCCCCTCTTGGACAGATGGCTGACAGGTCAAGAGGGAAAGAGGAGACCCCCATCTTAATATTCTTGTAGATGGGACAGATAGTCGAGAGAAAGATGCTCTGAATTAGAACTCTCAGCCATTTGTTTGGGACCATTTCTTCTTCCCCCTTCCAGAAAGATTTTGAAGCCTGGAGGAGAGTGGAATTCTCAGGGGAAACAGTTTATGAGAAGCAAGTAAGATGTCAGATTTGTGCTTACAGCTTCTCTGGCTGTAACAGTCTTGAAAAATAATCAAACCTATATGAACTAACAGCCTGACTTGGAAGGTTGATTCTAGGTGATGCCTCTGTTTCTGCAAAGTCTTGAGATTAAATATATTTCAAGGTATCTGTGCTAGTTAGTTTTCTTCTCAACTGGATGCAAACTAGAGTCATCTAGGAAGAGGGAAACTCAATGGAGAAAATGCCTCCAGTACATTGGCCTGTGATTCATTTGCTTGATTGATGGTTGTTGTGGGAGGGCTCAGCCCATTTTAAGTAGTGCCAACCATGGACAGGTGGTCCTGGGTTGTATAATAAAGCAGGTTGAGCAGACCACAAGGAGCAAGCCAATAAGCAACACCCCCCATGGCCTCTGCTTTAGTTCTTGCCCCCACGTTCCCGCCTTGAGGTCCTGCCCTGACTTCCCTTCATGATGGATGACAATTTTAAGATGGAATAAGCATTTCCTCCCTAAGTAGCTTCTGGTCATGGTGTTTATCACAGTACCAGAAAGCAAGTTAGCATGGTATCTGAGATGTAATCAGGCCTTGAAGCTGAGAAAGTTGTGGACAGGGATCTCAGTAAGTTTTAAATAACACCACTTAGAAACCTTTACTTTGGTCATAGACTCTGTCCCTCTTTGTAATGTAGAGAAAATCACTCAGTTAAAGCACAAATTAGAAATATTTTGATATCATATGAGAAAAATCTATGACCCCTCTGACCTTCAAAAATGTACCTACACACTGCATGCTCACACAAAAACCCAAGT